ACTCCATAGTGCCAGAAACTGGGACCTGCTCTGTCTCTGTAAGCTCACTGAAGCTCACCTTCCAAAGGTGTAAGGGCTTATGAAAGTGAAAATAGTTTTATTGTAGTTCTCCTCTAGGTCCAAAGCCAGCTACTCATACTGACCACCCTGATCTACACTATCTGCAATTTGTGATGTTCTGTGACTTTGTGAGTCACCCAGAAAGATCCTAGATGAGGAGACTGAATGTCAGTTCAAGTTCCCTTGGATTAGCCACCTTCTGAAGTTCTAAGATCTAAGAGCTAACCTGAAATTCTAGGCCATCCAAGACACTCCCCGTCATATGAGCCCAAACCAACAGGCCATGTACTCGCCTCTGCTCCCATGACAAGAGTCAGATCCAGGATACTGAAATCTACCAGCCTGTCCTTTCCTGCAGCCATCACTGCCCCTGTCAATGGCTGTCTCTGAGCCCAACCAGGACTGCTCAGCCTCATTTTCTCACAATAGTGCCCATTCCTTAAGTCTGTGTACACAATGTTGTCTAAAAGATTCACAAAGTCCATTGAATCATGTTCCCAGCCCCAAGCCTCTGACATCTGCTTGAATTACAAAGCTTCACATTTGCTTTTTACTTGGTCTTCTTACAGTCTTTTAGGCAGCTAGATGCCTGGATTTGCAGTTCAGGGGTAGAGTCCTGACTGAAGACAAGCATAGGGCTCCCGTGTAGGTCTGGCCTATGAAGACTCAGGTCCAGCAGAAATGACATAGGGAGTGACCATGGACTGGGAAGTACCTGAGAGGCATTCCAACATTTACAGGATTGGGAAGAGGAAGGATGAGCCATCTGGAGGGAAAGAAAGGGGTTAGCTGCTGATGAGTCCAGAAAACAAGGGCTAAGAACTGACCATTGCACAGGGTAATTGGCAGTTACTTGAAAAACTTGATTTCAAAGAAATGTTCTCAGTGGTTCAAAAACTCCTCTGTGTTCACTGCACTCTGGACTTCTCCACATTTATCACAATTGCAACTAATTATTGGATCTATTTGTTAAAATTTCTTTGCTTGATCCAGTGAAGGCAACAGCCAAGGAAGTCCTGTACTTCACTGTGATCCCAGGATGAATCTACTCAGTGGCTCTGAACTGTGCAGCAAGAACCAAGGAATCCAAGAAAGACAGCCTCCTTTTATTTATAAGACAAAGGACAGCACTTCCAAGGCAGTGTCACCATCCCTGCCAATCTGGTCAGAGCCCTGGTGCATACAAACCCAAAGGCTGGAGGCCTCAAGGCAGTTCTCTTTCTCCCCACCTTTATTCTCAAGAACTCCAATTCACCAGCAGTTAGCAAAATTTGTATGCTGGTGTGCTCTGGCCCCCTTAGCCCAGAGCTAACTAAGTAAAGGTGAAAACGACTATTTTATTCCCAAATCCAATATTCCCTTCTTGCACAGCACTGATTTTCAGATTTTAGCATGCATAAGAATTACCTGTGGGCCCCAGCCCCAGTGTGAGAGTGTGTGTGTGTGTGTGTGTGTGTGTGTGTGTGTGTGCTGTGTTTGAGGAGAGGGAGGTGGCTGAAGCCCTGAGAATGTGCATTTCTCACAAATGCCAGCTAATAATGGCATGCCTGTCTGGACTTCAAGAACTCAGCTTTAAGGCTGAGGTTATGGCTCAATGGTAGACCATTTGCCTAGCACATGTGAGGTACTGGATTTGATTCTCAACACCACATGAAAAAATAAGTAAATAAAGTTATGGGGTGGGTGGGTAGGGAACTATGGCTTTAGTGTGACTCTCTTACCACTGGTGATTTTAATTTTCCCTGCTAAGGAAATCTCTCTGAAATCATAATTAAAATTAATAGAAAACATAAGTTTCAAAATTTTTATGAAGTTTGAAAAGATAACTGAAAGTAATACATTAACATTACCCCAACTGAAGTCTATAAGGCCCAAGTAAGAACATGGCCCAGTTAGAACGAGGTCAGGTGTGCTCTGGACAAAGCACATACAGCATCTACATCAAAAACTGAGTCTATTTATTAACTAAAAGTTGTGAGAACCTCTTCTTGACTAATTCTGAGCCATATACTGTGCTAGACTCTGGGCAGAAATATATCACATACATTTCCACTTTCATCAGTCCCAGCAATCCAGTAAGTAGGTGTGGTAATGACTATTTGGCAGACGAGAAAACCAAGAAGAAACAACACATAAGGTCATACAGACAAAAAGAGGTGATGCTGGAAATCAAGTCCAAAACTCCTGGCTGGTGTATACCAGTCCCTCAGCTTGGCATCTCAAATACAACTGCTTTTGCTTTTCCAGCACCCCAGGCAAAAAAAGAGCTGGTCCCAAGAGGCCTGGTATTTGTAGAAGCAGCAAATAAATGGCTCAGGCTCCTTCTCACACTACAGTTCCACTTTCTCTTGTTTGTGACTATCTTGTCAGGAGAAAGAAATGGTACTAATGGTGAACACTTTTCCAGCACTTACTTCCTTCATTGTTATTCTGAACGCATGATGTATATTTACTCATCTAATCCTCACCACCTTAAAGGTAGATATTATTTTTCTCCCAATTCTAGAGATGAGGAAAATTAAGGCTCAGAAAGGTTAAGTAACTTGACCAAAGTCACAGCTCAACTGTGGCGGCGCTGGGATGCAAACCCAGGCAGTCTGGCCCTAAAGCTCATGTTCCTAAATCACCATGTGATGCTGCTTTTCTCAAAAAAAAAAAAAAAAAGAAATTAATTTAAAAAAATAAAAGTTCTCAAAGAAGGAAAAGGAATTAAGAGTTTCCTGAACACCTTATGAATATGCTTTAGACCTAACACATTATCATCTCCATTCTAGATCACAAATGTAGATGCTCAAGGCCCATCCCCGCCTCTCCACAGTGGGGCTGAGAGAGTTCATATTTATAACAGCAACGCTCAGGCCTGGTGCCCAGAAGCCTTCTCACAGCAACAGGCCCCTCACTTTACTCCTCCCTGACTTTGTCAACCTGGAGCACGGCATGAGAGATGAGACACACAAAGCACAAGCAAGCAGATCTTCGGCGGGGCTGGATGACTCATGCAGGTATAATGACATTCTTTATTATTGATGACTGAAGCCAGATGGTCTTCTGTACAGTACTGTGTTACCACACAATCAGCTGGCCTGATCATTTCAATTCAAAAAAAGAAAATAACAACAAAAAAACCCCTTTGAGGTCAAGAACACGTTCACCTTAAAACAAAAATGAACAAATAATCCAGGGTACTAAATRAGAAATTCAAATATGAGGCAACAGATATTAAAAGTGATGGGAATGTCTCATCTGTATAACTTACTTTTGCTTAAAGTGCAGATGTATTTAAAAACCTTACAACAGTGTTACTACTTAGTCTCCTAAGAAATTTGCATCTGGGTTTTGCATACAAACTTATAATTTTATGCTTGCTTGATAAGCCTACAAAATGTGGCTTATGATAAGCCTACAAACTAAAATACCACAATCACAAAGGTGAATTCCAGGTCTAGACAATTAGCACGGGGAATGGTGGACAGCATTCAGGACAGTTGGCCGAGGTTAGACTATAGAGGCCAACACCAGGCTGTGCCTCAGCCTCTCCCACATCCAGCAGGTCATCTGCCCATCTGTCCGGTAGTCACAGGGGCCATCACTGCACCCCATCATGACCTCAGCACTAGGCCAGACCCTGCCTTCTCTCACCTGGACTTGCCAGGGTGAGTTCGTCATTCCTTACCAACAGAGAACCCTCGGGTAGGAGGCAGGCACCAAGCACACCAGCACTGGGGACAGCCTCCTCCTGCTGCTTCCCCAGTTCATGCTACCCACTGCCTGCCCAGCCCTGCCTGCAGTGAGTCCCTGGTGCCGGACTACCTGAGGTCACATTTTAGCTCTGCAACTTCCTAGCTGCGTGGCCCTGCATAAGTCTTTTGGCCTTTGCGTCTCTGCTTCTTTGGTAAACTAAGGATAACAATCCTTCCTCACAGAGTCAATCCCAGTTTTAAAGGAACTAGAAACACAACTGGAACCATTTAAAACTAGCACATCACAATCAGTCAGTACAAGATCCCCATAATGATTCTGCCACAACTCTGTGCCTGTGTGGGAGGCTTTCTGGGAGGCCTTGCCTCCTTTCCACACACCTGAGCTCCTCGAAAACCTGCCCTGGGATCATTTCCAGAGGGCTACTCCTGAGCACAGGTACCTATCCCTCCTCTAAACCCAGTGTCAATCCTGAGATCATGCATGTAGTTGTCCTCAACAGTGTTGCCTTGACAAACATCAGGTTGGAGAAAGAAGGTGGCTGGGGATAATGTCACAGCACTGGGCCAACAGCACACTGTCAGGATGCCAAAATGGCTACATTGGGGCCTAGAAGTAGTTGCGGGGCTACCTGTCAAGGTTACCCAGACCACAAGCACGCCTCATCTGTGCATGAGCGCCCCCCCCCCTTGCAAAGATGAGCACATGTCTGCAGCTGCTGGCATGACTCCTATGGGGAGGACCAATGCAGCAAGGAGGGGAGAGTGCTGCAGGCCTGGCTTGACCCCAATGTGGAAGTGGGTAACTTCAGAGTGAGCAAGGAAGGGGTCCTATCGAGCCTAGGAAGATGACAGCCTAGCCTTCCATTCCAGAGTCACACTGGAAAAGATTTAAGCCCAAGAAACCCATGGGAGAATGCTTTAATATCAAACCAAAAAATCTGATGATAAATAAGTTTGCAGTTGTTAGTGAAAAAACATGATTAAATTTAATCAAGTTACAAATATCTGAAGCTCAACTCTGTTCACTCAACTTCCCTATGTGCATGTGACAAGCTATAAGAAATAAAAAGGGCGAAATTCATCCACACTCTGATACAGACTTAGCTTTTTTAGGAACTTAGCATGCAAACAATACGAAGAGTTTTCTGATTTCCAAGCCTCAGCAATAGTTGTTTCTGCAGGGTTCGTGCACATATGCCGTACATACGACAGCCTGTTTTTGGGTTGAATCTGGTGTACCTTTTGCATTCTCTTTGGCTCTCTCTGAGCATTCTCTCGGAGTGGCACTTTTCCAAATAACTTCCATCCCGAGTCATTTTGTTTGTCAAGTCGTGCATTTTGTTTTCTAGCAAGCAAATTCCTATAGGAAGAAAATAAAAGGGTTAAGGAACGTCTGGGTATTTAAAGAGACATTAGGACAGCCAAATGATTCTGATTTAAAAAAAAAAAAAAAAAGTCAAGTTTTACTGGAGAGGGATGATGTGGTGAGCCACATACTTTTTAACTCATCAGACAGAACTATGAAGCAAGAGAAAGTCCTGAAACCAGCAATGAACGTTTTGTTATTTAACTGTTATCTGTGTATATTCTACAGTTTGGAGTAGGGAAACATGTTATATGGACTGAATTAAAACCCTGGCTCAACCATTCATTAGCTATGTGACACTGGACCTATACATTAGCCTCTCTTAACCCCAATTTCTTATGTTTAACAAAGGGACACCAACCCATGATCAACAAGGCTGTTATATGAATTGGAATTTGAGGTGCACAGTGTTTCTAAGAATAGCAGCTGCTTTAGTACTTAGCCTCCAGCTCAGTTCAGTTCTCTGCAAGGTTAATCTGTATTTATCTACTTACAGAGTTGTCAAGTGTCATAAAAGGAAAGGCACTCATGTGATGGTCATGTCTTCTCTCCCAAGAACAGCAAACAAAAGCCCCCAAAACCACAACTCCCAACTGGTAGTCCACACAAACCATGTTTTGGAATGCACTGTATTGGTATAGTTATTAAAACAAACATTTCAAAGCATCACTAGAAAGCATAGGGTGATCCTGTAGCACTTGGCTGTTTGAGAAACATGGGCCCTAACAGAAACAGCAGCCAGCTTAAAGGGGACCCTATTGACCGATTCTGGAACAGTTATCATCAAAATAATGAGAATATGGATTAGAACCCATTAAAACAGAAATCCATGGCCCAGAGAGATATAAGTAAATAAACACATAAACAACAGGGGACTCTTAGAAGGCCCTAACCACATGCTAGTAATCACTAGTGGGGTCAGGAAGTGAGCAATTGGTGCTGAACTGGTGGTCAAAGATGGATGAGGAATGGGATCTTTACACAGCTTGAAACACCTACAAATTATGAGTTACAAAAGTAAAAACCATTCTTGTTACACTGGAGAACCTGGGGACACCACCTTAGCCAAGTGCTCACAGCTGACATCACCAATATGAGGACTTGGACTTGATCTGGTGCTATGAGGCCACCTGACATGCCAGCACATAGCAACCAAGGGTGTGCCCCAAGCCCACCAATCCACACTAAGGGCCTCTAGGTAAAAACGAAATCTACACTCCAACAACACTTATCATGAGTGACAGAGGACTGTTCCAGATCAGAGGCAGACCACAGAGATGCAACAAATGCAAACTGTGATCCTGAGCTACATGCTGAGCCATGAGAAGAGAAAAGACTAATTGTGTTTGAAAACTGCCTTGGATTAATGCTAACTTTCCTGATTTGATACCTATACTGTGATTATATAAGAGAATCATCTTGTTCCTAGGCAATAGATTGATATATTTGGAGTAAAGGGATATAATAATCTTCAATTTACTCTTCTAAGGAAGGGTTCAGGAAAAAATACGCATATATGAGAACTGATGGCACACAAATGGGACACAGATAAACAGTTGGTAAATTTGGATGAAGGTCATCGTGTCACTTTTTTGTCTGGCAACTTTTCATTAAATTTGAAATTATATCAAAATAAAACTACAAAAACTTTCACAAAAGAAAACAAGGGATTTCATCATTTTCTTTCTTGTGTTTCTGCTGTGGTTATAATGGAACCCATGTCAGAAATGCTTTCATTGTCCAAGACAATTTCTATTCATATTTATAAGAAATCAACTTTGAGTCAGGAGAGCCAATCCCTTTAATATCTGATTTTGCCATCAGTAGGGGACTTAAGCAATTAAACCAGGTAACAATCCCAGGCACCCAGAAGATACTAAGGACATGGCAGCAGGAACTTGAGTTCACAAGGTTTGCATCTTGCTGAAAAAGAGCTGCATGTCTCTGGGGAGCCAGCTGGCTGGCATGGGAAGGAAGGATAGGGAAACAGAATGCTCTCAGGAGGGAAGGCTCAGAAGCAAAGAGGCGCAGAGCCTCAGAGGGTCTAGGGAATGGATTGGACACCTACACAGAAGCAACTGGGTACGAGTGTGTGATAAGGGGAAGCCTGAGTGACTGGCTCCCAGATTTTTGTGATTTGGGAGACTAAGCACAAAAGGTGCTCCTCACCAAGACAACAGGGGCCAGCAGGACAGGAGCAGACACCAGAGTACCCTCAGTACTACCCAAGTCTGCATGACAGTGGTACAGACAAACACATCAAAACTCAAAGCTAATACTCACACAACAGACCATGACTTTTGACAGATTTTTTAAATTTTAAAAGTGTCTTGAATATATTATCTTTTGTAGATAAGAGGTTGAAAACCCCAAAACAAGTCTCTACAAATAAAAAAGAAGCTGCAATCAGGGGCTTTGAACAGGCCAGCAGGTATGGGAAGCCTGAGCCTGGCCCAGCTGGCAGCTGAATCCAGGCAAGGTCTGCTTATCACAGAAGCAAAGTTCACTTCCAAGCAGGCACAGTGAGAGCACACCAAAGGGCACCAAGCTAGATGGTACGGAACCCATTCATTTGGACCCTCTGGCCCTCTAACCTGTGCTGTCCTCCTGATGGGGTCTGGAAGCTCCCCACAGACATGTACTTTAGGGACCCCACACACATGGAACTATTCCTCCCTTCCTGAGCTGTGTGACCCAATGAGTCAGCCTACCCCTCAGCCTTGAACGCTGGGTCATGCAGCAGTCACACCTGACTGACAACTGCCATGGGACCAGGGCTGCTGCAATTAAGCTTCCTCTTCTCACAAAGTCACCAGAAGTCCTCATGCTTGTTCAACCCAGCTCCCCAGTGCTATCTCCAGAGCACTCACTACTTTATTCTGTATCTGCAGGGTAGGCTCTATCCACCCCCTCCTCTCCTCACCAGGAGGGCAGGGGTGGGCAATCACTCCACACTCACAGAGCCTTATCCAGCATGGAGTAGGTGCTCAATGCATATTTGCTGGCAAGTAAAGCAGCCCAATGCATGTCTGTAGGGAGGCAAATCTGACACAAAGGCATCCATACAGAGCTGCTGCGCTCAGGGGAAGCAGACTCTAGCCAGGGTAGGGTCTCTACAGGAGAAGGGGCAATGGAAGGTGGGGTCTCAGAGCATGGGGTGGGGGAGGAGCAGCACCCCATCAAGTCCTTGAGAAAGACAGGGAGCTGGGGACAGCCTACAGGGGAGATGAGTGCCTGCCATGGAGGAAGCGCCTGAGGATACTTCCAAAAAAGCCCCACAGAACAGACTCCCTTGTTTCCCATCCCCAGTGCAGGGCCCTTCAGCTGAAGAATAAACCCCTTTGTCATAAGGAGGAAAAGCACTCTACTGGCAGCATTAGGGAGAGGCAGCTGTTAACCTCCAGGCAGTTTCTGACCCAAGAGAGATCCAGAACACTTTCAGAGGCCAGTTCACCGGCAGCTGCCTGAGCCAGCCCCCAGTGCAAACAGTGCTGTACCTATGTTCCCTGCCTTCAACCATCACCCTTGCACAGGGACACAGGGCAACCTTAGATTTTAGATCTCTGCACACCCATGCATATCTGTTAACCTGGTGCATGTCATCCCTCCCCCACACTGCACAGGTGGCCCAGTGCCAAGCTATCTCACCTCACCACTCACTTCCACCCACATGCCCACTCCAATCTTCCTCCAGCTGCAGCAGGCAGGTGTGTAAGGCTGCAGGCAATTTCCACAGACCACCACCAACAATGCCTCCTTCTGAAAGGCAGGAAGCTCCTCTGTAAGCCCTGAGGAGGGGCGGTGCCCTCACAACCATCCAACAGGCCTCATTCCTGCCATATTTCCCAGGGGCCTTAACTACACCTAACGACTCAAAAGACATCCTCAGGTCCCAGGCACCATCTACTGAGAGTCACCTTTTGAAAGCACAAATGGATCACCTATGCTGTGTCTTCACGTCCCTCCACAGACTTGCACCTGTTTTTTTGGCATGCAGACTGGCCCCATCCCCTTCAGCTCCTGCCACCTGCCCATGAGGCCCCTCAGAAGCTGTTCCCTCAGCTGTTATGCACTCCCCAAAAAAGGAGACATGAGGATTAAATGAGGTGAAGAGTCCAGGGTTCAGCCCAGTCACACACTTAGCTTCCAGAGCAAAGCTGCCCCTTCACCAGGCATTTCTCCACTGGGGAACAGGGACTGTCCTCACACCACCCCCTTTAGCTAAACCAGCACTCTGCCCCTCCCCACAATGGCACAGAGAGATCTGAGGAGAGGGATCTGGTTTACAAAAATGGGGAGCTCCCAAGAAAGGGGACAGGGTGTGGCCTCACTGGGATCTGTGCAAAATGCTAGTCAGTGGCATTTAAAATCTTATTGAAGCAGCCTCCGCTTCTAAAAGATGCTGGGGGGGGGGGGTGTCCCCAATAAAGCCATGCCAATATGAAGGAGGAGTCTAACTCAACAGGCTGGAGGAGGCACGGGTCCCATTGGAGCAGGAAAAAGGAGTGAAAATTTCACTGTGGTATTTATTTCATGGCTTAGAAAGTGATCATCTCACCTCAACAGGTTCCAACTCAGAAGGAGACTTGGATACCAACAACAAAATCATATTAAAAATAGTGGTGCAGCCGGGCACGGTGGTACACGCCTGTAATCCCAGCAGCTCAAGAGGTTGAGATAGGAGAATCAGGAGTTCAAAGCCAGCCTTGACACTAAGTAACTCAGTGAGACCCTGTCTCTAAATAAAATACAAAACAGGGCTGGGGATATGTCTCAGTAGCCGAGTGCCCCCGGTACCCTCTGCTCAAAAAAAAAAACAAAAACAAAAAAAAAACGTGGTGTGAGCTGGAGACTTAGATTAATAGCAAAGCACTAGCCTAGCAGACACAGGTCCTGGGTCAATCCTTGACTCTGAGGGGAAGAGGGTGTGGCGATTTCTGCCATACAGCTCTTCTGTAAAGCCAGAAAGCAACTCACAAGTGCATGAGCACAGG